ACAATTACTAAGCCAGTCTCTGTTTCCACCTCAGCTGGTTAATACAAGGTTATACCTTGCTAGAAACTCAAATTTCGAAAAGCCGAAAGCGTATGTGATCTTCGTGCGAGTTTGTCTCCTCGGTTTCTTGAATTTCTTCGACCCGCAAGAAGTTATAAATTGCTGTATTTCCTGTCCGTTTCGATTTCGTGCCACTTAAATTAGATTCCAAGTATCGCAGACAGCAGTAGCATCACTCTCATCGGTCCACGCTGTCACCAAAAGCTAACGAGACAGATAGACGGGCGAGAGTGTGTTGCAGAGAGAGAGTCGAGAGAAAAGGCAGCTCAAAGAAAAAAGACGAGAAAGAGAGAGAGAGACAGTCCGACAGCGAGAGGGGGCGAATCAGTGAGAGATAGATAGAGGACAGTGAGAGAGAAAGCACGCGAGAGAGAAAAAGAAAGCGCGCGAGAAATAGAGCCCGCAAAAGAGAGCGAGAGAGAGTGAGAGCGCGCGCGAGAGAGAAAGAGAGAGAGAAAGAGAGAGAGTAAGGAAGAACGGAAAGAAAAGGAACAAAAAAGCAGCAGATAAGAAGAAGAAGATCATGCGCGAGAAAGTGGTGGGGAACAAAGGAGGATATGGGTGGAGCGGGGGGGGGGCAGATAAAGTGTGTTAAAGTATTGCACTCTCTAATTAGCCAATCCATGTTTGTAACGATTTATATCAGTCATGGTTCGTTAACAACTGAATGCACACTTCAGCGGAATGCGTGCCACCAGCAAATCCAGACTCAAAGTGCCTGTATAATTCACTATATAATTACAGTAAAACTCGCATAAGTCGTCATCGTCCAACTCGTAAATTTGCATGAGTCGCCATGGAAGTCAAAGTCCTGATTTTCTCTCATAGTAAATCCATTGCAATAGCCCCGCCTAAGTCGTCATTTATAAGTCGTCATTATGTACAAGTCGTCGCCCTCAGGCAGGTAAACAACAGTAATTTCCCATCTGTAAGTCATCAGAAAAGCCGATGGCGCACGCGCGCAGTGTACGGTCTAGGGCAGGGGTGGGCAAACTACGGCCCGCGGGCCGCATGCGGCCCTCTACGGGGTTCTGTGCGGCCCGCGGAAGCCTACAGCAAATAAAAAAATAAAAATAAAAATAATTATTTTTTTTAAATTAATCGATTTTTGTGAAAGTCAACATGTTTGTGCTTGAACCGAGGCT